GTTTAGGGTTTAGGGCATTAGGGGTTCAGGGTTTAGGGTTCTGAGCAAGTTGGGGTGGTTGGGGCTTCAGGCTTTGGGTTCTCGAGTTTTCACCTTCGGCAGAGCTCCGGGGGGATTCAAGGGATACCTTAACCCAAAATGTCCTACCTTTTTAAGGACGCATGTAGGGAAAGAAACTATAATGGGGAGCCCTAAGATGGTACCAGTAGGTTCTGTAGGGTCCAGATAAGTCATGCCGTTTGGGGCTGTGCAGGAGCTCACAGGTTGAGCTGTTCCGTGTGATTCTGCTGCAAATTCCAGCAGTTGCCTCGATGGCACCCAAGCGTCCCAAGAATGTCTAGCACCATTCCTGTCGGGTTCCTTCTTGTAGTTTGTACTTATAAAGTAACAGCTTTCTTTGAGTTTTATCATTCGTATAGAACCACTGAATAACGCCTGGGTCTGTCGAAAGCGTGTCTCGTGCGATGTAAGGACAGCATGTCCCCCCGGAAGACTGCTCCTTCGAAACGGCGCTTCAGGGTTCTTGCTTCAGAGTTTAAAGATATGGGTAGTTGTCAAAATTATAGTCCCTTTTGAGGTACCCTAAATAATAGGTGCCGTATTATAATAAGGACCCAAAAAGGGACCATGATTTTGACAATCACCCATATGGGTCTGCTTCTGACCTCCCTCTTTCGGGCTGATATGCCCCTGGATGAAGAGCCCAAGAGAAGAAATCAAGTTTTGGTGGCGAGCAACCAGCATCGCTCTTGCTCTGATTGACTGCACACTGGGTGTATATATATATATATACACATACTGTAGAGGCCTTAATAATTAGAATAGGGTTTGGGGCTCCTTTATACTATAAGTATAATAAGGATCCCTAACAATTTTACAGGTAATTGTTTAGGCTTCTATATATCTAGATATGAGTACACAACTATACAGACTATGCACGTACCCTCCCCATGCAGAACGCTAGGCACAACTGCAGACTGCCATGCAGTACCTGTTAGTTGGCACATGTAACTGTATTGGTGCTTCAGCATCATGCTATGCAACAACGAAGTGCCTGCGAACAAGACGGCCAACACTACTGATTGCGATTGCGAGTCACATGCACAAGTCACAACAAAGTGTTACTGACAATGACAGTACTGGCAGCAGTAAGACACGACACAGCACTTGGGCACTGGGCCAATGTTTTTCGGAAGTCCCGAAACCAATGTCTCAATGACAAGTGATTATTTTACGAACGAATACTTCATCTGACTTCCAAGACTTATGCAGAGAGCTTAAAAATTGATTGTAAGATGCAGAAACAAAAATAGCAGCATCACAACAATGCCATACCACGCATGCATCAGTGTTCTGTGAATCTTGCCATCCAAGCAGAACCTAAGCCAATCTTGCCAGTGCAAACAGGCACCATGATGTATGAACCTTGCACTGTTGGTGTATGGGGGTTTCGTAAAATTGACGGGCCCGAACCCTGATTGTCAGGACACCTATTACGAGGCTCTGCTTCTAACTCTGATAAACCGTGAAGCCAAATCCTATAAACCAACCGTATTTACAACTCCAGGACCGGACCCGTCAACCCAACGTTGCCGCCGGGCTACTGAAGACTCTACCTTCCACTGGGGCCTCAAAGTAGGCGCGGACCTTGGGGCTTCGAAGCAGCCGAAGCGTTTCGATTGGTTTAGGGCTTTACAGGGTTTAGGGTTTAGGGTGTAGGGTTCGGAAAAATTGAGGGTCTGAAGTTTGTCGGGACTGCAAAGGACCTTTCAAGTAGGGAGGACTATCGCTATTTGTGCTACTAAGAGCTATATTTGCTTCTGACCCCGATTTAGGAACCTACAATTCTGTTGATAAGTGCTCGCCTGTAAACCCGGGTATAAACAAATCCAAAACCCGTCATAGACACCGCCTTTGGGCTGACCCCGACCCTTCAAGTAGGGACTTTAGGTTGGCGTATTATCGAGGCTTGAATAGGGATAGGCTTTTTAGGGTAGAATAGACGATACCAGAAGAAACCCTCAGGAAGAATGTTGGTAGTTTAGCCAACCCATAACATGTTAGGGGGGGGCCGCAACCGCATATAAGCGAGTGGTGAGCTATGTACCAGTAACAAATATGCGATACCCTGAAGCACTGTGATATGGCCCTACTTCACGCTCATTACTACCTCCTAGCACACTACCAAGACCTACAGTCCTGCACTATATAACTTATAACTTATTATACTAAACCCTAACATAAACCTTAAACCCTCAACTCTAAACCCTAAGCCGTTGATCAATTGCGCTCGGATTCTGGCCTGGCAACAGGTCAAACGCAAGTTCAGGCTAGATGAAGCACGGTCTTTCTTTGTTACACCAACGACGCCCCAAACACATAACACGCGCAAACACACTCCCCAGGGGCTCTACAAACAAATAAAGCCAACCTCATAGAGGGCTCAAGGTGATGAGTGTCAGCCTCATTCAAGTATGGCAGTGTCGTCGCCACTGCTGATGAAGATCATACCAGGTGCGGTTGCCGACTGCGAGGTTTGATACATATGGTAATTAACAGCAACATTGTATCGTTGAGAACTCCCGAAACTTGCCCGAGGATCGTTGTGCCCGTCGCATAGCACCCTGCAGCACACGCCGCGAGACCTCCATGAAGCCCACTATGTTGAGATCAGGACACAGTCAGTCCCGAGTTGGAGAACTGCAACCCCTCGTAGAGCCCGACACCCCTGAACGAACATTGAAAGACGTTTACGGGAGTTTAAGCGAATACAGGACCCGACTATAGACACCCGTTTGATATGACCAGGAATAGTGGAACCTGTATTCTTGTTCGGAATCCCAAATATCATCTTGAAACCACCCATACTTCCCAGTCATCAAGTGTTGGGCATCGCAGCCCAGGTCGAGGAGCATGGTCGTTTGGGCTGCCGCTTAGTCCCGTGAAGGAGACAGGGAGCTGGGTCCACTTGCCTGCGATTCGAGCATGCAATAGAGTATAATATGGTATGATACAGTATAATATGACATTGCGTAAAATCTTCGACGAAGGGAGGCTCTCTAACAAGAAGTGCCAAACCTCATGACAAGGACTCAAAGTTTTCAGAATTCCATCGGGACCCTTGAAGGTCATGAAAGGGGTGATGATTTCAATATTCCTGCGTGGGGTTTTGAATTCTATACAAATGGTTTCCCTGTTGAAGGAGACGGTGCACAGCCGCCGTCACCGACTGGAGAGGTCTATGTGGTATTCGCGGGCTTACAAAGTGCATGAGTCTTCCATGCAGGGTGACTTGTCCAAGCGGTCATCATAACGCTGACGTAGTTAATCATGTTGGCTTATAGCTCCAACGTTCCTGAACTCTCTGTCCATTGTGTTCGCGGCTCTAAGAACATCTACAAACAACAGGAATAGGATTGTTGGGCTTGACGGCCTTAAGGAGTTGGAGCTACGGGTTGCTTTAGGGGCAAATGTTCATGTAAAGGTCACCAAAATGACGGTACTCTAAGTCTAAGGGTTCAATTCACAGGGATTGGCAGCATGCTCAAAGATCAAGTGCTGCCAGCCTTTCTTGGGGTCCTTTGTGTAGGACACCTTGAATGAGTAGACCTGAGTGACTGCGGCTGAGAGTGTTGCTGAAGAATCCGTATTCCAGAGTGCCTTGAAGGTCTATATACACTATAACATGACCCCAAATACTACTTAAATCCTGTATGTATGCACGTGTGCACATACATGTTCATGTATGTGCACAGGTATGTATATAGGCAGAAATATCTACACATGCAAACCCAAACACACCGAACACTTAGCCGGCACATCAATCATCCATCCGGCGTCGCTGAAGCCTTGTAGAATCGGTGGGTTTAAAACGGAGTCTCGATCCGAAATGTCCTTAGAGTCTAGGCATCGTCCATCCAAGTGGACCCAAGTCTGCGCACAAAGAAATGCAGGCCAAAAAGCTACAAGCTCATGAACACAGATGCAGGCTCAAGGTCCTCGTGTTTCTGAGTTTGTTGTAGGCTGCTTGTTTCTGAGAGTACACATAGCCCACGTTTGCCTGTGCCTCAAACTGTTCGCTATTTGGGTGGCCCCAAGCGAAAAACAACGACGTAGAGGGTTTAATGGTTTAACGCAGCCGCTTCGTCTCGCGATAACGTGCAGTGGCACCGGTCGCATGTTCAAGGGCATGTCATCGTTTCATAAAGCCGGCAAGAGACATAATTCTCCTTGTTCTTCTCCTTCAAACCCTGGATGACGACCCCAATCACGTTCTTGACGTCCTGGCAGAGTGCTTCTCGGCTCCTTGTCTTTACGGCCAAGAAATGCCACCTTGTCTTTACGGCGAAGAAATGCCACGACCGCGGACAGCTTCGGGATATCAACAATGACGCCCACAACAAAAGAACGTAATGAAGAGAAACGAAAGCACGGTTCTTTTGTTTATTCTTTTCGCTTGCCCTTTGTCCCAGTGGCCTAGTTTGGAATGAATAAACCATGCATCCACTTTGTTCCTGTAGACCCGTGTGCTGAGAGAATTATACCAGCTAAACCAGTCAATCCACGAACCATCAAATCTACCCTACAGACAATCACCTAACCTATAAGACTCAAACCCTCAACTCCTGACACCCCAAGCCCTAAACCCTAAACCCTTCCCTCCTTCAAGGCCTTGGCGCACGACCCTAAACCCAAGAACCCAAAACTCAAAACTACGAGCCCGAAACCGCAACTAAAGCTCAGGCAATGCCTCTTAAACCGTACTTTAAACCCCCAGTCCAGCAACCGCACTTCTTTAAAGGCCCCAATATTCGGATCTGTGCTGTTCTCCCTACGAATGTCGGGGGATATATCGATCAGGGGTCTACATATCCCTCGGATACTAGGCCAGGAACGTGAAGTTCAAGACCCAAAAGTCCAAACTTCAACGCCCACTGCACACTCCTAAACCCCAAACCCCAAGCCGCGCAAACACACTGCCTGCGCATCGAAGGAAGTGTCTTCCCAAAGGTCCCTCCTTTCGGAAGACCTTTGGAACAACCCAAAGCCTTATAACACCTTCCTTAAGCCACAAGACAGCTAAAAACCTCCAAAACCCTTATCTAGAAACCTTCCCTTGGCTAGAATCCCTGTTTACTGGCGTTGGGGGCTGAGGGTTTAGGACTTCTTCATGAAGCAGTCTAACAAACACTGTGCATCCCTGGAGTGGCCCGTCCTTCATGTCGATCTCCACCCATGGATTTCGATCATCCCTGGATTATTCGGTATAAGGTTTAGGTTTCGAACATCCCTGGCGTAGTGATATGGGTAAAACGGGCCTAAAAGCGGCTTGGGCCCTGGCGACAACAGATTTGTGACCCTAAGCCCTGAACCCTGAACCCCCCAACCCTGAACCCCAAACCCCAAACCCTAAACCCCGAACCCTAAACCTGGAGGGCTTCGGGTTTAGGTTCGTGGCTTCTGTGGGCTGAGGGCTCGAGACCCTGGCATTTAGGGCTTAGGGTTTAATAGGTTTAGGGTTTGGGGTCTAGGGTTTAGGCGTGTAGGGTTTAGGGTTTAGGGTTTAGGGGTTTAGGGTGTAGGGTTGAGGGGTTGAGGGGTTTAGGGTTTAGGGCAATTGCACGTCAAAGCCTCCATCGAGGTTTTAGGTAGCTAGAACTCCAGTGAAATCACCTCACCGCCGACGTGCACCCATGACCCAGTAATATATAGGAGCCTCAATAATTAGAATTTTTTTGGGGCAAGATGATAGCATATTATGATGAGGAACCCCCAGGAATACTAATTCCGACCCCTACAGTCTTTGACAAGTCTTGCTCGGCCATGCTGCAAGGCCAGCACCGCTCTCGCTCTCATTCCCCTTGCCTCCCCTTCACTATGAATGTCTGGTCTTGCAAGGCATGCGCTCGTTCCGCTCTGTCGTGCTGCACCGTGAGTGCACTTCTTTTAAAAAAGGTGGCATCATCAGTTTGGACCCTCAACCCCCAATAATCGAATGCTCCTTCATTTCGTCCTCACCTGTCTGAGCAGAAACTTAATCACCCTGACACAAGTCAACTCTTCGCGAAAGGCATAATCCAGAGCCCAACATCCGAAATCCTAACCTCCTATGCCCTCAACCCCCAAGCCGCAAAGAAATCCAACATCTCGTAACCCAGGCTCTTCTTCGCGCACCAGGCCCTGTCAGAGTCGAGCTCTGAGTTCTGGAAGCCTGTGGTCTATGATCTGAACCCCAGGCTAATCTAGGGGCCTTAATAAGTAGAATAAGGTCTTGGGGTCTACTAGTCTATATAATTGTAATAAGGAACCCCCACTATGATCGCGTTTGGGGTTGAGGCTCCAGGTTTGACAGGGTGTAGAGGGTTTAGGGTTTAGGGTATAGGGGGTTACGGCCCTGAAGCCTAAACCCCGAATGTAGGGGCCTTCATAATTAGAATAGGGTTTTGGGGGGGTTCCTTATGATGACTATAGTATAATATACCCCCCAAAACCCTATCTAATTATTAAGGCTTGACACGGCGCGGAGCTCGCCCCGGCGATCCCACCGCCGACTTGCTCTTTGGGTTCACATTGTCCGCCCTGTCACGGTCAGTGCATGCGTGCCTGGAGTCCCGGTCTCTCCTTCCTGTTGTGCCTTGTGCTCCTGAGCGCCCAGCCTTTCTTGACCAGGATGGTCCGGTCCCTCTGGGGTTCCCCTCTTGGGCCGACGACTTTGTTGCTCCCCAAACCGGTACTGGGCCGAACGACTTACTTCATCGCACCTGCGACGCGCTGACTACTGTGGTTGACTTTGCCACATCTGCGGGGATGACTATTAAGTTCGGCAGAGACAAGACAGCCGTTCTCTTCCCTCCGGATGTTCTTTGCATCAATGACCCTCGCTTGTGCTGCGATGACGAGGGCACTCTGCAGCTGCGTCTTTGCAACCACATTACACAGGCTGCGTATGTTGTTCCGGTTGTGGAGTCGTACCGCCACCTTGGGGGCATAGTAGTCTCCACGGGCAATCCGCTTCCCGACTTGCACTTTCGCTATTCACAGGCTACGGGCACCTTGAAGCCGCTGCGTCGGAAGCTTTTTGGGGCGCGGGAGATCCCTATCACAACACGGTCCTTCCTACTGCGCTCCCTTGTCATTTCCAAGTTTGCGCATTCCATCGCGGCCCTCCTTCTTCAGGCGGCCTGCCATGTTCGGGTATGGGAGCAGCACTATGTGGCGTTGTGGCGCGCTCTGTTCTGCAGGCGTGCGACGGGCCCGCAGATTCACAGCCTCCGTGTTCTACATGAGGCTCATGCCCTGTCTCCTCCCCTTGCCCTTGCCAAAGCCCGTGCTGGCTTCGTTAAACGGGTCTTTCTGCATGGTCCCAAGGAACTGCTCGCTCTCCTTTGGGACCACTGGTGCCTCCACCCAGCCACTTCATGGCTTGCACAGCTGCGGGACGATGTTTCGCACGTCGCACTATATGTGCCTTCCGTTCTAGATCTTTTGTCCACTCCTGACCCGGTAAGGTCCCTTCTGGAGGCGTATGACAGCGACCCTTTTTGGTGGAGCCGACAGGTCCGTGCTGCTGAGAAAGCGTTCTTTGAAGACTTGAGCATTTGGTACAACGAGCGACGGCTCGGAGCCACCCATGCTACCGGGGATACCAGTGCGCTCGCTTCTCAGCGCTTTGCGTGCTACCTGTGTACAGCGGACTTCCCGCTGCGAAAGCACTTACACGTGCACCTTGCACGCAGCCACCAGGTTTATGCTCCTGCGCGTCATTACGCCACCAGCAATGTGTGCACAGCATGCCTCAAGGTTTTCCCGGACGTGCGACAGGTACAACAGCACCTCAAGTATTCTTCCGCTTGCCTACTGAGATGTCTGTACCTACATGCACCACTCTCTTACGAGCAAATCCGAGGACTCGAGGCTCCGCGTGGCATGCGCGAGGCCAAGGTCGCTCGCGGCAACTGGAAGTCTTTCGTTGGCTTGCCGCGTGCCTCCCGTGCCCCACAGGCGTTTGGTCCCCTCTTGCCTACTGCCGAGGAAAGGTCTTCAGTCACCGTGAACGAGGATGATCCGCTCTCCTGCCTTTCCAAAGGCTTCATCCCGTCGCATGCCCATGTCGTGTGGATTACCGACCACCTCGCTTCGAAGAGCTCCGAAGGCAGGCGGACAACCGCACATAGGTTCTGGGGCCAACGCCCAACGTTTCACCTTGCCGGAATTTAATGCATTTTTGGGACGCACCGCGTCGCGCTCCAACAAGGGGCCAGCGGTCCGACTGTCCGCACAGGAACAGGAACAGGAAGGCCCCTATAGTAAACCCCTAAACCCTGAACCCTAAACCATAGGCTCCGGGCTTCTGACTTTCAGCGTATCGTGTGGGGTTGGCATTCAACTCAGGCTCCGGCTTCGGGCTTTGGCTCAGGGTTCAGGGTTCAGGGTTTAGGGTTTAGGGTTTCGGGGTTCAGGGTTTAGGGTTTACAGGTTTAGGGGTATTTAGGGGGGTATTGTTTAGGGGTTTAGGGTGTGGGGTTTCGGGTTCTTGCTTTTTGGAAGGCGTTCAGGGCCTGGGGTTTGGGCTTTCGGGAAATCCGGGTTTGGGGTTTTGGCTTTGGGGAAAGCCTGATCTAAGGAAATTAGACTCCGTGGTTGATGGGGCTCTCCGGGTGGCTGGATGGTGCAATCAACAAGGCCTCACATGAACCACACAATATGTTGATGCAGGTCCCTGCACCCTAAACCCTTCTATTTATCTATGGCGAATCAACGGCTAGTCTAGGCTCGATCTCTTTCAGGTGCACGCCCGCTGCACAAGGGCTGCACAGAGTCCCTCCAAAGAAGATCTTGAATAATACTAGGACTCCCGAACTCCCCAATAAGGGATCCCTGCGCAGCAACTTTGACAACACACTACTTGTATACATATCACGTCATATTACAGTATAGTACAGTATAGTATGGCATCAGTATATATTGGTATCGTATAGTATAGTATAGTATAGTATAGTATAGTATAGTATAGTATAGTATAGTATAGTATGGTATGGTATGGTATGGTATGGTATGGTATGGTATAGTATACACCATGTCAAACCCTAGCTGGCCTTCGCTGCGGAAAGAGCTGATCTCGCGATGATTCCATGAGGGATTCCTGAGAGCAATGCGGCCTGAGCAGAAAATCGAAAAATGGAAAGGTGTAGGATTCCTGCAAAGGGGTCCTCAAGGATTCTGTAAGCGTGCCCTTGCTGAGGGGTCCCAGAAGTGTTCTATACAATTGTTCCATGAGGGTTCTGTAAGGAATCCATATACAGCGCTCTATAAGGGGTCTTTCATGGTTTTGGGCAAGATTTCGGCTTCAGGGGGTAGTTGTGGATACGAGTGTCTACTCGTGGCAATGAGATAGCACAGGAGAAGCTACAGAATCCGTCCGTGGACGAAGAGGGGCCACTGTGCCGTGACTCTGATATAGGAAACCCTGATCCCAGCAGGCGGCTTTTGTTCTGCGCATCTCGTTTGGGGAAATAGCAGGAACTTCTCAGATGCATCTTCTAACGACATTCACCCAACTTCCGGTGAACAATACAACTATCAAAAGAAATGTGGCCAGGAGGCGAGATTTTCACGGGGCATCCGAACAGGGAACAAGAAAATGGCTGCAAACCGAGTCAACGATTATCGTGACGCATGGATCGCACCATGGCACATTGGATGCGCCAATTTGCTGCCATTGCTCAAACTATTCATCATACGTTGGAACGGAGGACCTTCTCAGTTTTGCACTTCCCTTCCTGTTGTTCCTTCGAATTCCCTCTGCCTCTTGTCACCACTGGCTGAAGAGAAGCAGAGTGAGACAGACAGAGAGGAGCAATTGAGAGTTACAAGTTCATGAAGGGGCATTAAGAGGGTCTTGGGGTATGTTATAAGGACCCCGAAAATTCACGTGTGACTCAAGTAAGGGAACCCCAAAATAGAATGTAGACCTGGTTCAAACCTCAACCCAACAGCCCCCCCATCCCCTGTACTCGAAGTGTGTGAATCTAGAATCCGAACTGCAACCAGGTAGCACATGTCCTTCTCCCCACCCACCATGAGCTTTTTCATCAAGTACCTGGCGCAGGCTACCCACTAAGCATTGTTGTACCCCTGCCGTACTTGCGACGTGCGATATCAGAAGGAAGAGTCCTAAGTTAGCGACCTGGGCAATCACCGAGGAAAACCTTCCTGTGTATTTGTCAGCTATAAGCAGAGCTGAACAGGGCTATCTGCCACTAAACTACGAGCTCCGCTTGCGAGCACGGCTTGCGCCCGGAGACGAACGGTTTCAACGAGCTCGGAGCACGTCGAGGCCTCTTCCATCTCTCTCCTGAGTGATGCTCACATCCTATGCCTCCCGCAATGCCTAAACTTCTCAAATCACTGCCATCGCTATCAATGAATCAAGCTCACTGCCGAGTCGGACAAATTTGCATCGTCTCGACAAGTCAAAGTTTCGCATGAATCTCAGGACATTCCGCAATCGCACGACAAACCCGCTGGCGCCCACACTTTCGCAGCCATAGCTATGATTTCCACAGCTCAAACACACGCGCACATACCGGCCACACTGAACAGCTCATCCGGCAACCACCGGTCGATGTACTTGGTGCAACCAAGCTCTTTGTGAGGATGTAGTTCCACGTGATCACTTCCATCACCTGAGCCGCAAAACTACGAAACCTAAAAGAACCATGTTCAAACCTCATACGCACTCCCTGCCTGCCAAAGAAAAGTCGAGGTCCAGTCCCTTCACAAAGCTTCTTTATGACACTGGGCCTCTCGGCCGGGAATCCTTAGAGGAGAAAGGGAAGCTCCGCGTCTGACATACAATGCAACCGATATCAATTCTGCAACGCGATGCGACCTCAGTGTACGATTGCAAAGGACACCCGGAACTCTCAGTTTGTCCCTAAACTCTCTAAACCCTAGACCCTGAACCCTAAACCCGAAACCCTAAACCCCTGAACCCTAAAACCCTAAACCCCCTGAGCCCTCCTCCGTATAACCCTCAATTCTCCAGAAACTGGAGGCTTCCGGGGCACGGCGAAGTCCGACTTCTCGCGCCAGATGTTCCCACGGTTGATCACGAGGTCCTGGTTGTGGAAGCCTCGTATCTCTTCCATCAATGGGGTTTAGGGTTTGGGGCTTAGGGGTTTAGGGGTTGTGGGTTGTGAGTTTTGTAGGACTGCAAGAAAAAAACGTTTACGCTTGTGCCTGCATGGGTTCTGTATATATACATATATATGCATGCACGTATATACCTTTGTGTATATATATATATGTATGCA